CGCCTCTGCACCTCCACAACTCCGCACCTCCTACCAGTCTCAATGCACTTTTTTCTTTCCTTCTAGTTGTGGAACTTCCACTCAGCCAGCTTTCCCATGGTTTTGGATGATCGATGTTTTGTCTTTTAGTTGTAGTTTTGATGTGGTTGTGAGAGGCAGCAAGTACATGTTTTTACCTATGCCGCCATCTTGGTTCTCTAGCCTTATAATTTCTTTAAACATGTTTTCTTGTATTAATTTCTTTATTACATTAGTATGCCTTTTGAAACTTACAATTTATGGCCAGGCTCAGTGGTTGTGCATTGATCTATGAACCAGGAGGTCACGGTTCAATTCCAGGTCAGGGCACATACCCGGGTTGCGGGCTTGATCCCCGTGTGGGGAATGCAGGAGGCAGCTGATCAATGAGTCTCTTTCATCATTGATGTTTCTAGCTCTCTCTTCCTCTCCCTTCCTCTCTGGAATCAATAAAAATATATATTTCTTTAAAAAACACCAAAAAAAAATCCCAAAAACTTACAATTTATGGCAGAGGACAAAAAGCAAATTAATTACTATAATAGGATGGGCTACCAACCAAATTAGTTTTTTGTTTTGTTTTGTTTTTTGTAATTTAGTGAATTGGAAAAGAAACAAAGATAGAAAAACATAGGTCAGGGCAAAACTAGAAAAGCTTTTGGGTAAGAAAAGATGTAATCAAAGTTGTGCTTTAGAAAAATACATGAAATCAGTGTGTAGGATTATTTTGAGGGAGAAGAGACTTGTTTTGTCGTTGCCTTGTCTCTGTTATTAGCTAATCCTCTTCTGGATTTCATTCAGCCCATTTTATTTTATTTTATTTTTTAAAATTTTTTATTCATTAAGTTATTACATATGTGTCCTTATCCCCACATTACCCCCTATCCCCCCCACTCATGCCCTCACCCTCCTGTCATTCAGTCCATTTTAGTTCATCTTGTCCAGCTACATTTTCTTGTGCTGGGATAATATCAAAAATTCTGTCTTTCTGCCTTAAATCGAGAATGTAGAATATAGACTTTTGATTTTTCATTACATATCCTTGTTCCTTTTCAGAGCTTATAAAAGCTGAAGTTTAAAATGGCTGCTTCCCCAGTGCCTTCTCTGCAGAATATGCTTACTTTCTATAGAATGCCTTGCAATGTTGCAGTGAGAGGGCTTATAAATCTCCTTGGCTTTTGTAAAAAAAAAAAAAAGTAACTTCTAGCCTAAAGGTTTACTGAAAGTTTCTTATTTCAACTCTGAACACATTTACTCTGTTGCTTTCTGTGTTACACTTATGACACAGGCACACTCACATTCTACCACTCTGTCTTACACACATAAGCCTACATGCTCAGTCACCCACAGAGATTTCTCAGATTGATCTGAAATAGCAAAAATTTAAAATTCTCCATTTAGAGTGTTGCTGGGATTTTTAAATTTAACGATTTCAAGCCTATTTTCATGTTTCCTGAAAATAGATGTGGTGTAAAGTTCAAAAGTAAGTTTTATAATATGTGTATTTTGCCACTATAAAAAAGTTGGGGACAATATCAAAGTGAAAACAAATTATAGACTTTACCAAAGTTTGAGAATAGCACATGCTGACTTCTCTGTGAGTCTATTTTAGGATACTTAGCTCAAAATTGCATGCCAGATTTAAACTAGAAATTAATTGTTCCTTCTGATAGCATTCTTGGTTATTTTCACAAGTTAAAATTTTTAATTATAAGATAATAGAGTATACCCTAGCCATTTAAATGTGTTTAAAATATCTATAATAATAAAAGTGTAATATGCTAATTAGACCAGATGACCTTCTGGACGAAGCTGGGGCTGCAAGGGAAGCCTGGGTCCCAGGTGCCAGAGGGAAGCCTGTGCCGGCAGCTGGGGGAAGAAAGGCATACTCTTGCACGAATTTCGTGCATCAGGCTTCTAGTACATATATAAATACATAATGTATATGTGTGTTTATATATACACTGTGTGTATATCTCTATATATTTATTTATACTAAATTTTTGCACCATTCATTTTACAATACTCAAACTGCATTGGCCTTTCTTAAGTCTCAGAGTCTCACTGAATCATATCTTTTGTAAAAGCAGGTATAATACATAAAATTTAATATATTCACTTTCAATATGACTCAAACTAGATTAAAGTCAATTCGTATTTTTAAACAATATCTTTATAATAATAGTTTTCAAACCAAAAACAAGAATGAAAATGGTGAAAATGTTAATCTTATCCCTTAGATTTATGTTACCTTTACTTTAATTATTTTCTTTCAGCACAAAAAATTTTAATTTTACATTATTAAGGACTACATTCCAATTAGTGCTGATGCTCTAAGTTATATGACTATGTTCCAGTCATGGTCTTTAGGCTTTGTTATATTTCCCAGGTGGCTCTCAACATATGCAACCATCATTCATATCTTACCTTTATTCAGAAATACCTCTAAATGAAGCCACTATTTGTAAGTGTAAGTGATAAATTTGAGATTGTCAGTGGCTTAGCAGTTGCTAAAGGCAAACATCTGTAGGTGTTTCCATGTAAGAAAAACTGAAAATCTGTGTGAAGTCAGGAGAAATCCCTCCAGTAATAGAAATCACCTTTTACAACAGGGACAGGCAGACCAACTAGGAAGACCCACTTTAAGACTATAGTGTAGACAAGTAAAATTATCACGTCCTTAGCTGAATTTTCAAACTAAGAAATCTCAACGTAGTATCAACTCTTTACCTTTCCATTTTTCTTCTGATGCTGAGGGGTTCAAGCTTGTGTAACTCTGCATTGCCATTACCAGGAGTATTGCTTCTCCTTTTTGATGCAAAAGAAAGAAGTCAGGCAGGCTTTCTGGGCTTTGTACTCCCTGGCATGTGCCATTGGAAATGGAACTTGAGGCAGCATAATTGTTGGGAATGGAATGTTAGAGGGAAGGAGGGGTGAAGAGATTAACCAAGAACCAATGGTGGGGAGAGGGGACATCTGTAATACTTTCAACAATAAAGATATTATATATATATATATAATATATATATATGATAGGGCAAGTGAGAAAAAAATTTTTGCTGTTGTCCCATCATGTTGCCACTTCAATCCAACTCCAAAATCTCACCAGTACAAGAACGGTTGTGCTTTCTGTATTTGAGGGGGTTCTGAAGAGCCTTAGCCCCTCCAGAGTCATAGGGAGAAAAATCAATTGACTCTAAACTGACTGTATGAACTAAACTCCAAAGTAGTAGAAAGTTCAGATCTTTTGTTTTCAAAACATTTTTCACTTTAAAAATATATGGCAAACAAACAGACCATGTGAGTTTTTAAAGACTATACAAGGCAGGTCATATTTTAAGTATAGTTTCAGTTGTAAATGTACCCAATCTATATTCTTTTTCATTGATTCTAAGATGACATTTCCCCACATTTTTACATTTCTGAAATTGGAATGCATATGCAGTGTGGGTATATTCAAGTGGTAGAGTTTTTCACAGGAAAGGCTGTTTCTTAAAAACAGTGTGTGCCTTTTATATGCAACGGTATCTTAGAACTGAATATACATGATATTTTGGTATCTTATGCTTTCTGTAATGGTAAGTGTCCAGTAAGACCAATGTGTAAAGCTCTGATATAAACTATAGATATAGTCTGTCCTGATAGAGACACAGACTTCCTTAAGGATAAGGCAGTTTATTATAAAGCTAAGAAGGAAGTTAAACTAGAAAGTTATTTAGGATCTGACACAATTCTGTGGCGCAGCTTCAGTCTCTATTTCTCCTTCAGGACCTATGTAAGGTGGTTTTTGTGCATGCACGTGTGTGTGTGTGTGTGTGTGTGTGTGTGTGTGTGTGTTCACACGTGCAAGCATGTGCATGCGGGCACCTGTGTGTGTCCCTGTCTGGACTATTTTCACTGCTACTGGCCAATCTTTTCTTTTTACCCAGTTCAAATTTGGACAAGAACCATCCTGGTTTGTTTAGCTAACTGTAATCACCTTAGCTGAGCATAGCTGAGCTGAGCACGGCTAAGCAGCTCATACAGAGGGCGTCTTTGCTCAGTGTTGACCAGTGATACTGTCAGTGATCGTCCTAGCACAAAGAAGGCCTGTTACAACTCTGTAGGGAAGGGATCCGGCATGACAAGCATTCTCATCAGTATATTCAGGAAAAAAACACGTACCTTTCACTGGTTAATCAAGAGGACAACTCCAAGAAATGACTTAATGAACTTATTATTATAAATCTTTTATATGAGACTAGATAGGGAAGAAGGGTAAAAGGAAGTGGATAGGGCTATAAGGGAGGTACTTGGGGAGTGTTTTAAATTGTATGAGTTGGAGTTCTACAGGCAACCCAGTGAAGCAGGGGGAACAATAAAACTTTACTAGGAAAGTTCTATAAATTATGAAATTTAAAAATATACTCTGCATTTCATAAACTCAGCAGTTTGCAACATGTGTATTACACTTTGATATGCCAAACTTTTCTATAACAACTTAATCAATGGGTATACTTTTGCCATTTTTTTTCCCTCTGAAATTTTACCCTACAACTTAAGATGTTCAGCTCTAACACAGACAAGTGTATTGATAGTTCTCTCTCATTCTTTTATGAGTGATGAACATACAGTACCATTTCTGTGGGCTCTGGGCCCTAGAGATGACTGTAACCTGCTATTGATCAGCTGATTGAAGATAAATGGCTTAGCTGCTTGTATTGCAGATTACATCATTAACATGGTCAGTAAACCATGAATTGTTCAATAAGGCGTTTATCTTTTTTCATTTTACTTCAGCTCTTTTATCATTTTTATTGTAAAAGACAGAATTACCCACACTAACCAGCAAGATCAGTTGAAAAGAGACCCAGTAGGGTACCATACGGGTGCAAAGTTGCAGACAGCCAAGTTCTAATGGTTTAATGATATTTAGTATATTTTTTGAACTGAAGAAAATATAGAGTTTTGATAATCCTTTTTTTCCTGTGTTTCTCTTACAGCTTCCCTTTGCCTCATATTTACTAGAAGCAATACTGGAGAAAATAAATGAAAAAAAGAAACTGGTTGAAGTATATTTCACAATTATGAAAGATATTAGATGATATTACAATGAAGAACTTTTTTCAAATGTGAAAACTTTTTATGTGGTGTGATTAGAAAACATGCATTGCAATCCTGATACAGTATATACTCTGACTGTCAATATTCAGGTTCAATACCAAAATAGAAGTCTCCAAAACTAATTAATTGCTGAACACACGAGTGAAACTAATTAAGTGCATAGCCATTTAAAAGGAAATGGTGTAGCATTTGATTGTTGAATACAAATATTGCCACAAATCAATGCAGACTTAAAAATGATTTTCCCTTCATTGTATTAGAAGAAATCAGAACCAGCTTGGCACACTCACATTGGGCTGAACATAAAAACAAAAAGATGTAAACAGAGGATTTAATATGTTAAGGTTTATAAAGAAACTAGACTTTTTACATAAAACTGCTATAAATGGCCTTAAATCATCTAGTGAGTAAAACATTTGTATTGTAAGCAAATATAAAATGAAGCAGCATAACCTAAGGATGAGCATTTAGTGAAATAACTTGTGTGGTCCAACTATATTTGTTCTCAATATTCTGGATCATATAGGAGATACTGTACTTTCTTAGAACTATTTGGCAAAAATAAAAGTATTTTCTCCTTTTCTCTCTCTCTTTTTAAATATCATACTCTTGGTGTGGTCATATAAATTAGCAAGGGACCACAAACCCAGTGTATAAAATTAGGCTAGATCCTACTGTAGTCAACTAGAGTTAAATTCTTAACAGTGGTGCCATCCATGTTTGATTCCTTTAATCCACCAAACTTGCACCTGCCTCCAGTTTCTACCCTTGCTATTCTCTTTCTAGAATACTCTGTACTCAACTTTTCTCATGACTGGCTCCTTCTCTTCCTTCAGGTTCATCTTATGTATTCCTTCAGAGACACATTCCCTGACCACCTTACACTTTAATTTCATTTATAACACAAAACTGTCTACTTTATGTGCTCACTTATTTTGTTACTGTTTCCCCCCACCTTTAGAATAGGACCCATGAGGTTAGGCTGAGGTTGGCAAATCTGGCTTGCCACCTGTTTTTGTGTGGCCTACCAACTAAAATGATTTTTACATTATCAAATGTTTTTTTTAAAGGAGAATAATGTTTTGTAGCATGTGAAAGTTATATGAAATTCAGATTTTAGTGTCCATCAATAAAGTTTTATTGGAACACAGCGATGCTCATTTGTTTACGCATTGTTTATGGCTACTTTTACACTGCAGTAGTGAGGGTGGATCGTGGCAGAGACTGTGTACGGTGCACTCATCACCTTGCACTGCTGCTTGGCACACTGAAGATCACAGTGACACAGTTAGAACTTGACAACACTTCAAGGGCTACAAATACCACAATTCTGTGACTTTTTAAAATACCGGTGTATATCCATCATGTCAAAACAAGAAAGAGAAAAATGTCAGAAGTCACACTTTTAAAAAACATGTTTTTATTAATTTCAGAGAGGAAGGGAGAGGGAGAGAGGAATAGAAACATCAAAGATGAGAGAATCATCAATTGGCTGCCTCCTGCAAGCCCCATACTGGGGATTGAGCCTATGACCTAGGCCTGTGGTCGGCAAACTGTGGCTCGCGAGCCACATTCGGCTCTTTGGCACCTTGAGTGTGGCTCTTCCTAAGCCTTAGGAGTACCCTAATTAAGTTAATAACAATGTACCTACCTATGTAGTTTAAGTTTAAAAAATTTGGCTCTCAAAAGAAATTTTAATCGTCGTACTGTTGATATTTGGCTCTGTTGACTAATGAGTTTGCCAGCCACTGACCTAGGCCTGTGCCCTATGAACCATGACCTCCTGGTCCATAAGTTGATGCTCAGTCAGTGAGCCACACAGGCCAGACCAGATGTCACACTTTTAAGGCATAGTGGAGTGTGGATTATTTTGCTTTTGAGTTAGATGGCAAAGCATTGTATTTATTATACAGTGCCACTATACCTATATTAAAAAGAACTCAATGCATATCAACATTACATAACCATAGTACATTGTTAAAATCAGGAAACTGACATAGAACATATATGATTTCCACAAGTTTTTACATTCACTTTTTTGGAGGGGTGGTTTTAGGAAATTTTATCACATGTATAGCTAATATAACCATCACAGAGTTTTCCATCAACACAACGAACACACACACACGCGCACATACACACACACACACACACACACATCCTATTGGTTATTTCTCTGAAGAACCCTGGCTATACACCAAATTTTGGCTATCACTTATAAAATTACTCTGAATATTTGTGTATAGATTTTTGTATGAACAAAAGTTTTCCTTTTTCTAGAATAAATGCCCATGAGTGTGACTGCTATTCATGTAGTAAGTGTGTTTTTAATTTGGTAAGAAACTGCAAAACTGTTTTCTAGAATGGCTATCCATTTTACAACCCCACTAACAAAGTCTGAGAGGCCAAGTTGGTTTTCATCTTCCAGACTTGGTATTGGTACTTTTTATTTTAGCCATTCTAATGGGCATATAATGGTAATGTTTTTATTTTTAAGTTTTGTTCTCTCCTTGATCAGATTTGTAATTTTTTGCTTTTCTATCTTCAAAACCTGCATTTGTATGGGCCAATGGGAACAGGTGATTGGAGTTGGGTGACGCACATAATTCTTGCCCAGACCAATTATCTGGAAAAAAACAAGCTCCCATAATCACAGGTTTTACAAAGAACTTCTAAAACACAGGCCTATTCATTATCTATTACTCCATAACAAATTACCCTAAAACTTAGCGGCTTAAAACATTTATTCGGAACAGTTTCTTTGGGACAGAAATATGAGCAAAGCTTAAAGGGATTCTCTGACACTGGGTCTCTCAGAAGGCTGCAGTCATATCCAGGCTTAACTCAAAGGGACCCACATTCTAGCTCCGTCCGGTAATTGGTGGGACTCAGGCCTTGCAGGCTGTTTAACTATGGGCTGCAGTTTCTTGCAAGCTATTGGCTAGAGACTGGCTGCACATTAGAATCACCTGGGAATCTTTTTAAAATCCTGATTTCTGGGCCTCATCCTCCGGAAATTCTGTTTCTTTGTTATGGGGTGGGCCACAACATTAGTAACAAAGAAACAGAATTTCCGGAGGATGAGGTCCAGAAATCAGGATTTTAAAAAGATTCCCAGGTGATTCTAATGTGCAGCCAAGGTTGAGAACCACTGGGCTAGAGGCTGCCCTCAGCTTCAGTATGGCAATCTGCTTCATCTCACACACACGGAGGAGATTTCACAAGAATGTGAAAAACAGAGCGGAGACCATTAGGAACCATTTCAGGAGTGGCAAGTGTCTAGATTTGACAATGGAGACGATGCGGAGCTGCTGGAGAATCCTCCTTGAACCCATCTTTACAAGGTAAGTATTGATTTTACTTAGAATGGTTATTTATTTGTGTTGTTTGGGGAAGAAAGACAGCGTTCATGGGTCGCAAAATTGCAAACACCTCTTGGCACCATCATAATAGGATTTAAACAAAAGGAACCTTCCCTGCCAAAAGTGGGATCCATCCCTTAAAGATGCTCCACAGATTAAGGAGATCATGCCTGGCCAGTGTGGCTCAGTGGATGAGCATTAACCCATGAACCAGGAGATCAGAGTTTGATTCCTGGTCCGGGCACATGCCCAGGTTGTGGGCTCAATCCCCAGTATGAGGCATGCAGGAGGCAAGTGATCAATGATTCTCTCTCATCATTGATGTTTCTCTCTCTTTCTCTCTCCCCCTCTATCTCCCCCCCCCTTACCCTTTCTGAAATCAATAAAAACATTTTTTTAAAAAAAATAAGGTCATAAATTCTCATCTCTGGACTTCCACAGCAAACAAAATAAAACCAGTATCAGAAATCTACAAATTTAGACCATCAGAGTTCATTCTGTGACCCTTTCTCAAATTTGAACTGTAGAAGGGTTAGAGACTCAAGACCAGAGTAGAACAAGTCTTTGGCTCCTCAAACCCACCATACCATACCATACCAATGACCTTGGGCAGCCTTCTAACAAAATAAAATAGAAGTTAAGGAATGCCTTTCACAACATATTTGTACAGTGTATTCATATTACTGGAGAAACACCAGAATCTGATCAAGATTAGTTTTCTCTGGAGAGAGGGCTGGGAGGTCTCTGTTGGAGACTATCTTGCTTGTTACAGTACATCTTTTTATACTGTTCCAGTATGTTCCCATGGACATGTATTTCTCTTACAATGTAAAGACAGTTTTTATAAACTTAAATCATCTCTGAAGTGAAGATAAAGAACATGCAAATGGAAAATTATCTAAAAAGTAATGAACATGAAATCTTTTTTTTTAATTAAAAAATCTGTGGGACACAGCTAAAGCTGTATTTAAAAGAAAACAACTCAAATAATGTTTATTTTTAAAAACGGACTTGAAATAAGCTAAACATGCAACTTAACAAATAGAAAAAAAAAATAAACCTAAAAATAGGAGGAAGGAATTCATGAAAGTGAAACTAATTTAAAAAGAAAAACAACTTAGAAGACATAAAAACAAACCTGATACTTATAATTCACTTAACCCTGGAAAACCTAAGGATACAAGAGAGGAAGATGAAAACATGCAATGCTAGGAACTGTAAAAGCTATGGAAGACATTTTTAAAATTAAAATTATAAAAGGATATGTACTCTATCAATATTGGGGAAATGTATGATTTTCCGGCAAAATATAAATAAGCCAGGTTCACTTAGGAAGTGATGGAAACTCCAAAAGACCATTGCTTGTAACAAATTAGGAACACAGCTAAAGCCTGCCTTTTTAAAGGCTCCAGGACCTGATGATTTTATCATTGAAACCTGTCCATCCTCAAAGAACAGATGATTCCTGTTATTTAACTATTCACAGAAAAAAGATGAGGAGACCCCATAAGTCATATTTATGAAGCAAACAGGCTAAATGACAAAACCAGATAAATATAACTAAAAAGAGAACGATAGATCTACTATTACTAGTAGAAATAGTCTAAGTAAAAATAGAAATTCTAGTTATTCAAATAACAGCCTATCTGGCCAAATAGATTTCAATCCAATACAATGAATAAGTAATATATCAAAATAATTCGTTATGCCAACAGAATAAAGGGGAAACATACTTGTTGTGGCATATGATAAAATTTAACAGCTTTTATAAAGTAAATTGTATAGACAAATGACAGTAAAAGGAGAAACTGAAAAAGGCCAATAGACATAAAAAGATACTGAATCTCAAATGGAGATAAAAATAATTTTTACCTCTGAGTGAAAAAAATATCAGTGCCGGTGAGAGCATATGTAAGTCAGCTATCTCATTTATTGCTGGTGAGTTGTGAGTTGTTAAATTTTTGCAAGATAATTTAATGTATCTGCTAAAAATTGACCAGGAATGGCCCTTTTGGGAATCTGCTCTACGGAGTAAAAGCATAAACAAATAGGAATAAATATAAACAAATAGTTTGTAGAGACAAAAGGCAATAAACAATTTCACTGCCCATCAGTAAATGGTTGAATAAGTTGTGAAACAATCATATCTATGGCTAATTATTAAATAGAATGCATAAAATGGTCCATCTGGTGGAGTGACAATTTGCATATCCTATATAATAAAAGCTTAATATGCAAATTGTCCCCTTGACCAGAAGTTGATCAGGGGACGGGGTTGGCCAGCCAACACCCCACGGCCCCTGCTCCCAGCCATCCCAGCCCTGATCAACCCCAATCCGGGCGGGCCAGCTGGACCCCACCTGTGCACGAATTCATGTGCCTGGCCTCTAGTATTATATGAAATCCAGTTCACCTATAAGAAAACTAACCCTTTTAAAGTATAAAATTCAGTGGGTTTTGGTATATTCACAAGTACAATCACCACCATCATCCACTTGCAGAATATTTCACCACTTCCCAAAGAAACCCTGCAGCCATTAGCAGTCAAAAATCTCGGAAACTAACACTCAGGAGCAACCCTCAGCTAACCCTGGCAGAAGTTGGTATATAAATACTCCTTTCCTTTGCCCCTTCTGTGACAAAGTCTAAGGCACACCTTTACACAATTCCCCCTTTAGGATTAAACTCGAGTTTTTCACAGTGCTACTTTCTGTGGGAAGGCACACTTGATTGCTTATCTTTGACTTTTCCTACCTTTTCCCTACTGCTGTTTCCTGAGGTCATTTCT